AAAGATGGTCATAAACCATAGGATTTCACACAAAGGTATGAATTTGGGGGCAAATAACATTATACATTTGTCTGTTAAAGTCTCTACTGCATGTATGAGCAGACTTAAGTGGCATAAATCAGAAAATGATAATGGGAACTGAATGAAATTCTCATAAATCATGTTACTAAGTATAGTTACATCATAGACTTGGAACCCAATTAAACAGATGGCCACATGCTGTCAGAATCAGCCCCTAATCAATAAAGATGTTCATTTTAGAAAATCACCTCAATTTTTCACTTCTTCAGTGAAGCAAAAAGAAGGAAGTGAGGGGAGCTTACGGGGGAAAGTCCCAGGAAACCTAGTAAGGAAATGTGTAAGAAGAAACTCCACCTGTCTTAATTTGTAGTCCAGAATATTAGAAAGGAAAGAGAGGAAAAAGTCACCCAAAGGATTCCTTGTCATCCTGCCTGGAAATGTAATTTACAACAAGAGCAAGCACTGGTCATTAGGAAAATAGAAACAGCTTGAATCTCTTAATTAAAATACTGCTTCAAATTGTTCATTTCAAAGCTCCTCTGCCCGTGAGCTTTCAAGAACCCATCGGGTTACCCTGAAATGGCTTCTTTCTGAATATACCTCTGAGAGGATCAATTCTTCCCAGACCAGGAAAGGGCAAAGCCGGAGGGGTAAACCCTGAAGACAGAACTATTGTTAGACACACTAAAGCCCCCAAAGGAGCGATGGGCCTTCAGTGACATTTGAAAATAAGTGTGGAAACACTGAAGAGACTATCCCATTGTCTTTTCTTGCATAAAAGTTGATCTGTTACACTAATTAAGTCTACCAATCCCAAGAGCTGAGAAACAACAGAAAAATCTCTGTAGTTTGGCATGCTACTTTGAAGAACATTTGTTGTTTTCTGGTAAAGTTGAGTATTTGCATACCCTACCAGCCAGCAATTGCACTTCTGGACAGATAGCCACATCTTATTTCAGGATACATACAGAAGAATATTCAGAGCAGCAATGTTCATAAGAACAAAAACACTTGGAGAGTGGGGGATACATAGGCCTACCGATAGCAAAACATATAATACTCTAGGGGTACGGTCACACAGTGGAATGCTATACAGCAGTGAAAACCCTACTGCTATATGCTATGTGCACAAATCTTAAAAATAACATGTTGATTGAAAAACACAGTTGCTTAAGATTGTGTATAGCATGATACTGTTCTTATCATACTAAAAACTAAAAATAAACACCATATGATTTGGGGATTCCTACATGAATTGTTATTTTTTTTTAAAAAAAAGGAGAAGATAAACACAAAAATCAGTATAGTAGTTACCTGTATGGTGAGAGACAGAATGGGTTGAGGAGGGAGAAGGGTAGCTGCAGTGGTACTGATAATGTTCTGATTCTTCGTTGAGTGATGGCTTCATAGGCACAGTGTTTCTATGTTTTCTTATAAATTTTATAACTTAACATTTGCCAACATGTTGCACATGTTCTTTTGTATGTGTCAAGTTTTACATAAGAACAAATTTTCTTCTAAAATGAATAAGCAACATTCTATTGCCCAAAAGAGTATTCTAAATAGTATAGTTAATATATTTAAATACTATTATAAACTTTAGTTATAATTAATAGCTCAAATTTCATTAAGTTTCCATATAACATATGCAGCCTAGTTCCCAAATTGGAACTTAGAACCTTAAGAAAGCAACAGTATTTTCATGATAATGAATATTTATATAGTAAGGAGTGACATACAAAATATTTAACAACTTATTTGGCTATATAAATTTATGTAAAAATAAAAAATTAGCACCATCTGCTTGTTTTCCCTCTGCTCATTATGGGCACAGACCACAGTCCTGCAAAGACTTCCATTTGCAATAGGAGCCACAGGAGGGTGACTCTGGTAGAGAGTAGCCACTGCCCTCAGGCTGTGCCCTGTGGCCAGGGAGTCCTGTAAGGGCAAGGGACAGCTTGGAAGACCTACACAGGATGGCTCTCTGGCCAGAGGGCAGGCCAAATGCCTCACTGAGTGGGTATCTTTTGAGCAAAGACTTAAAGAAAATGGGAATGTGAACTATGAATATCACTTGGTGAGTTTTTCAAAGCAAAGAGAACCCCAAATATAAATGCACTAAGGGAACCGTGTATCATAAGCACTCTAGGAACTTGAAGGAGGCCAGTAAGACTGGAAACAAGGGAGAGACGGAGCATAGGAGGAGATAAAGGCAGAATGATAACAAGCTTCCAGGGCCAAGGCCAGTGATGGTGAACCTTTTAGAGTTTTTCCATGATAACAAACAGCTGCAACACATGTGCCATAGGTTCCACCACCACTGCTCCAGGCCATTGGAAGCAATTTGTTTCTTAGGCTGAATAAGTTGAGATGCTGGCAAAAGGCACTGGAGAGTGACATGTTATTGTAAAGCCTCTTAAATGACTCTAATGTCATATTTAGAATAGACTGGAGGGAGTAAGCACAGAAGGCAGGCCAGTGAGAAGGTTATTACCATAATCCAGTGGTAGACGGTGGTAGCCTGAACAAAGATGGTAAATTCCATCCCCTGTTGTTACGGCTTGTGTTTATATGGCCCCCCCCCAAAGCCTCATGCTTTTTCAGAGACGGCTGAATCTAGAGTGTGTGACTGATTAATGGTGGGGCTAGGCCCAAGGGCACTAGGATTAAGGGCATAAGTGCTACCTGTCCTAAATAGTCTGAATAAGATAAAGGGGGCAGAAAGATGCTGTTAAGGCCTCTTGTTGCCCCTCTGCCACCCAGCCTCATTGCCAGCTGATTATGGACTGAAATCTTTACAAACTGTCAGCCAAATAAACCCTCTCCCCTTTAACTTTGTGTGTTGGGTACTTTGTCTCAGCAATGAGAGAAAAGTAACTAACAAAGAAATGTGGTACCAGAGAAATGGGGTTGTTGCTGTGACATTACCTGGTCATGTGGCTCAAGAACCTTTGGATTTGGCTTGTGGGAAGGGGAAGAGTAAGGAAAGGTTCTCAGAAATGCCAGCTGAAAAAGTAGAGCTGGAACTCTAGCCTGTACTATATGGGAGATTCTGACCAGAGCTCAGAAGACCAGAAAGCCAGTAAAGACCAGGCTCAGGAGGTTTCTCCTGGGAAGAAGAGCTGCATTGGCTGCTGGAATCCAGATAATGTCTGCTACGATTTGGCAGAAAGTTTGTCTGCATGTTGTTCATGTCCAGGGACTTTGCCTGAGACTGAGATTAAGGATGGCGGACTAATTAATCTCACGGAAGAAATTTCTAGAAGTCTAATGTTGAGGCAGTGGCATGGCTACTGTTAGGGGATTTTTAGTCAGATTAATGTTGAGATTCAAAAGCAAAGAGCCCAGCAGAATGATTTAAAGTGTTTTGAGTTTGGCCAGAAAGGAAGCTCTAGTAAAGCTGTAGACTGCAAAGACAGAGCAGAGGAGATCTTGATTGCTGAGAAGGAATAGAATAGAAAAGATAGCTTGAGGGCATCACAATAAGCAAAAGGACTTCATCTTTTGCAGCCTCAAAACTGCAAAAGTGAAGGCCTTTGCTTTGAGAATAGAGCCCCAGGGCACCATGTTGCAAAATGGTGGTAGTTTAGGGAAGTTGTTCCACCATGGCAGTTTAGAGAAGTTGTTCCTTGGGATTTGGTTCATAGGCACTGGACCCCTACATCCAAGAGAGAAGGAAGCTTGGATACAGCTCCAGCTGGCAGCAAACTTTGGTGTGACCCATAGTGCTACTTTTAGGCCCATGAAAAATGCAAGAGTTGTGGGATGAGGAAGGCTTCTACCCAAATTTCAGAAGAAGGCCTGAGAGACCAGGCAGTGTGCCCCTGAGAGGGCAGTGTACGAAGCTGTGTGAAGCCAAAGGTGCAGTGGAGACCCCAGAAGTTTGGAGAAGCCAGGAGTGTGGATCATCTGAGGAAAACTGCAAGGAGGGAGCAGAGCTGGCCAAAGAGAGAAGCCATGGGAGGTACAATCACTAGAAGTGGCATAGGGGCTGAGGCACCCAAGCCCTTTGGAGATCACAGATTGCTGGGGATGCTGGTCGTGGAACTGTGGGATTTAATGTTTGCTCTACTGTATTTTGGTCTTGCTTTGTTCCCATTCCTTGCTATCCCCCATGTTTGTAACTTTTGAAAGGAAAATGTCTATCTTGTGCCATTGAATGCTGGAAGCGTTCAGCTTTCATTTGCATAGGGCCTTGCAGCTAAGAATTTACTTTCGATTTCAGAGGAGACTTTGGAATTGGACTTTTCAGCAATGCTGAAACTGTTATGACTCTGGCAACTTTTGGAGATGGACTAAATGCTTTTTTGCATAAAGGGATATCTTTATGTCTTTAGGGGCCCGGGGCAGAATGTCATGGCTTGTGTTTAGAGGGCCCCCAAAGCCTTATAATTTTTCAGAGGTGGCTAAATCTAGAGTGTATGATTGACTCATGGTGGGGCTAGCCCAACAGCACTAAGATTAAGGGCATGAGTGCTACCTGCCAGAAGTAGTCTGTGTAAGATAAAAGGGACAGAAAGACGCTGTTAAGGCCTCTTGCTGCTTTTGCTGCTTCTGCTGCCATGAAATGTTGCCCCTCTGCCACCCTGCCTTGGAGTCAGCCAACTATGGACTGAAACCTCTATGAACTGTAAGCCAAATAAACTCTTTCCCCTTTATGTGTTGTGTATTTTGTCTCTGCGATGAGAGAAAAATAACATACCTGCATTCAACAGTGTAGAAATGTGATTGAAACCATGAAATTAGATATTATCACCCAGAAAGTCTGCAAAGATAGAGAACAGAGGCAAAGAGGAGAGGCACTGGGACTGAGCCTTAGGTAGGGGAGGTGAGGAGAATCCAGCAAGAACAATTTCCTTTCATGGACATGCCTAGTCACTTTTGGGGGAAACAAAGCATGTTCTGCCCTCATCATAGCCATCAAAAAGTTCCTTGCATTTTATACGAGATTAACAAGAAGACACAAAGCCAGTACTCACGGATCTGGTTGGTAGATGCACTGTAGAAGGCATTGACAGTTGTTGGGTTTGTAAACCACCTGTAGAAAGAGAAACAAATACCACAGCATATAATCATTATCCAGGCAGGAGGGCGATAAAGACAAACACGATATGGCTGGACTTACAAGCAGATAACAGTAGAAAAGGGATGCTGGGCACAAGGGGAAATTGTTGCCTTGGTTAAGGCCACTGCTCTGCCCAATAAACAGTCTCACCCTAAACCAAACATAGTGCAGTGAGAACGTATTAACATGCCTGGTTATTCTAGTTATTCACTGTTAGTAACTTAACAGAAAAAGTTAAACAGAAAAAGCACCAGTGCTTCTGAAAAAGCTTTAATGAGAAATTATAGAATCTAAAGGGCTCTCCTTGCAGATGAAAACACAGCAATGAGCTGTGTTCAGTAGATCCATGGAACAGCTACATTTCTATGCTACATCACCTCTGATCTGTCTGTCTTAGTCACTTTTCTTATCACTGGGACACAATATCCAACACCTACAATTTAAAGAAGGAGAGGGTTATTTCGGCTCATGGTTTCAGTCCATCGTCTGCTGGCCCCAAAGCAGGGCAGCATGTCACAGTGACACAGGAGAAGAAAAGCTGCTTGTCATGGCAGCCAGGAAGTAGAGAGGCAAGGAGTGAATGCCTCTTCTGCCAGGTCCCACCTCCCAACTGCAAGCCAGTTGTACTGCCCCCCATGATCCAGTCACCTTCCACAAGCCCCACTTCTGAGCACATGAAGCTTTGGGGGGACATCTAGATATAAACCATAACACCGTTCGTTAAAAAGCTTGAAATTGGACCAGGGGTTTAGCTCAGTGGTTCCGCCGCCTGCCTCACAAGCACAAGGACCGGAGTTCGATCCCTGGTACCAAAAAATAAAAATAAAAAATAAAAAAAAGCTTGAAATCAGTGACAACTCAGAGATCCATTTAAAGAGTGGTGAATAAAGTATCAGCATGCTACCCAGAGAGTCTGCCTGTTCCAGTGAAAAGTTTACTGATTCGAATGGCAAAAGATTTAAGAACTGGTCGTGTCTCTATCACTAACTAGTTCAGTTGTGTTGGAACAGTCACTGACTTTCCTGGGGTATAGCTTTATCCATAAAGGTAAAGTCCTGAATTAGGACATCTTGGGATTCCCTTACAGCTATGAACCATCTACGCCTTTATCTTAAACACGTAGTAGTTTATTTAGATCAGGATTGGCAATTTTTCCTAGGTAAAAGTCATACTGCAAACATTTTAGGCTTTGTGAACAATGAGGCAAGACCAAGAAAATTATATAGATATTTGAGAACAAACTTTCCACAAATTTTTACTGACAAAATATAATAATGAAGTGCAATTTTTGTAGTACAAGAATATTAGTGAGAAGAACAGAATTCTTTGGGGTAGGATAACGTTTTGCGTAATTGTAGTTCAAAGGTATCATTTCTCATCATCAACCAATTTCAAGCACTTGTCTGTAGAAATTACCCTTGGTACATGGTCTGTATGAAAACAGGAAGTAGGTAAAATTCAGCCCACAACCTGAAGTTTGCCAACCCTCGGCTTAGATCTTTGTGAGTTTCAGTCACTGCCCTTTATGATTACAACCAAGCAACTCATCTTAAACTAAACTGCTCAAATATAAACTTGTATCAGCCTTGGGGTATAGCTCAATGGTACAAGGCCTGCTTACCATGCCTGAGGCCCTGGTTCAATCCCCAGCATTACAAAAAAAAAAAACTTATAAAAACTTGTATAAATACCTTTTACAAAACAATCATTTTACTCACTTTTGTCTAAGAAAAATAGTTACTGTATGTCACACTAATAAATTAATTTACATCAGGCTAATATGAAATTGAGAGAGAACCCAACTACTGATTCTAGTTGGTCCATTCACACTTTCTTCCAACCTCTAAGGAAGTCTATGAATATGTCACATTTTTATTATCACATTATTATTAGCTAACATCCACTAAGCACTTATTCTAACCTAAGCACTTTATTCACAGGTATTTTCCCCATAGCAACTATAGGAATTTTTAGCTCATTTCATAGATGAGGACAATAAGACTTAAAAGCATTATATACTCACACAAGGTTTGGTCCATCTAACTTCAAAGCAGTTCTCTTGAGCATTATATTATACTAAAGATATTCCCAGAAATCAAGAAGAAGCGTACCTCCTCTCTTTGTCAAGACTGAAACCTAGATTTTTCCCTTCAAGTTTAAGGTATTTCAGTGAAGCCCCAGTATTTAATACAAACCTGTTGGCTGGCCTATTTTCCGGAGGAAACAGGTAAAAAAGAAAGCAACTTTATTGACCTAAACTTGTTACCTGTAGTAAGTAAAATTACAGTCACACCCTAATCTCCAGGAGCTTATGAATATGTTGCATTACACAGTAAATAGAAGTTTTCAGGAGTGATTAAGATTAAAGAACCTTAAAATAGGGAGTTTATCTTGGATTATCCAGGGAGATTTGATCTAGTCACATGAATCCTTAAAACAGACAATGGATTTTTGTTGTTGTCATCGTTGTTGTTTTGGGTTTGCTTGTTTGTTTGTTTGTTTTCACTGCAATCTGAGAGATGCAACAGAGGAGGTCAGAAGAGATACTACAGATGGAAAGTCAGGGGGATTCCAAGGGTGAAAAGAATTTGATGCACTTTTTCTGGCTCTAAGATTTAGAAGCCACCAGAGAAAGGCCTCTAGGAGCAAAGAGTGGCTCCTGGGTGATAGCCAGCAAAGTAAGGACCTCAAACCTATAACCACAAGGAACTGGATTCCACCAACATCAATGAGCTTGAAAGGGGAGTTTTTGCAGATTCACCTGATAAAGCCTAGCCAAGCTAACCCCTTGATTTCAGTCATCTGTACCTCAAAGCAGAGAAACTAACTAAGCCAGTTGCTACAGTTGTGGTAGCTTATTAGAGCAGCAATAGGAAGCTAAACTGCCCAAAGAACCCAGGCTTTGTAGGTTAAAAGAAAATCCATGTACCTCTCAACTTGGTTGCTAAATAACATTGTGTTAAACCAAAATATACACAATAGATAAGGTGTATTCCTAGAGCTTGTCCCTTCTCTTCCCATCCTTCCCAACTCCCCTCCTTTTAGCAAAGAATAAACTTTCAAAATATTAGAATAAGTACCATGCAGCAAACTAATTGCTGATAGACAAAGGTGGAAAATACAAAGAAATCAAACAATCAATCCCTGAAATGAGACACTGATAGGACTTCTGAAACTTCAGTGAGGAAGACTGAAACATTTCAGCTTGGTTACATGATCTTGCCATTCCTGAATCCCCAGCACTCCTAATGACTCGGGGGTACATTTGGAGCCTTGATTACCACCCCCCCCCAAGCTCATATTAAACAGCTTCACCAGTAGATCCTACCAGGAGTTGATACTATTATCTCTTCTGTTTGTTCAGTGACCATGCATAACCAGCTGTTCAACATTCCATACGTCTTTGTTATATCCAACTTTACTACATATTTAATTTTACTATTCACTGAAGTAAACCTACCTGTTCTAGTTCTAATAAGTATTTGCAAACTTGTTTACACTCCTCCCATTAAGATATGGAGTCTACATTCCTCTCCTCTTGATTATGAGTGAGTTGTAGCAACATACTTTTAAAGAATAAAATTCGGTGGAAATTACAATGTGTAACTTCCAAAGCTAGGCAATTACAGGTGATACAACCTCCCCTTGAGGCATACAAGCACACTCTCCCTTCATTCCATCTCTCTTTCTCAGGAAATTTGCTCTTCAGAATTTCTTTATCAAAGCCAGAGATACATGCAGAGGTTGTATGCAGGTGTTCCAGCCACCACCCCAGAGTCAACCACTAGACATGTGAGAGGGGCAGCCTTCCACATGATTCCAACCCAAGCCATTATCTAACTGCAACTACATGAAAGGTCATGAGCAAGAACCACATACCTGAGCCTAACGACCTCCAGAATCATAAGAGAGAAAAGATAAGTATTGGTGCTTTGACTCTTTAAATTTGGGGGTGGTTTGTCATGCAGCAATAGATAACAGGAACACCCAAAGGTTGTCTGTCCACAGACTAAGTTCCACCAAATAGGCTGACTTTTTTCAGAAAACTGTTTCCTTTGCCTAACATAATGGTTTAAGACATTTCTGAGTTGGAATTTATTTAAGGGGAGTGTGCAGTCACTCACTCTCCAAGGTTGCTATCATTCCTTATTGTTTACACTTGTCTAGGTGAGCCATGTGTTAGCTGACTGGGCCTTGAGGGACCCTGAGTTTGTAGAACTTATCTCCCACTAAGATCTTAAGTACCTTCCGAGCTGAGACTATCGTCCCAGTGGTAGGTTCTGAGCAAAAGATCACTAAATCTATTAAAATTGATTTATTATTATGTATATGTCTACTTCACTAAGCAAAAAATATCATTCCAGTGCTTTAAATTCTTCTTACTATGTGTCAGTCAAGCTTAATTGTTTACTTGGCAGGACAAAGACTCCTGGAAAGGTGATTGGAAAATGGGGGTGCTATACTCATCAATGGATTGATTCACTGATGTTCATAGCTGAATGTTCTGTTAGGAGGTGGGGTCCAGTTAGTGGAAGTGGGTCACTGGGGTCCCGCTTTTAGAGGGTATATCTCTTGCTAGTACTGATCCCCTGCTCTGCTTCCAAGCTGTCATTAATTGACAAGCTTTGCTCTACTGTGACCTTTTGCCTTCAAGCCAGTCAAACATGGACGGAAAACATGAGTCAAATTAGATTTCTCCTCCTTTAAACTGTGGATCTTGAGCATTTTGTTCCACCAACACAGAAGCTGACTAATACACTATATCTATGGGGTGTTCCTGCATCTGTGTTTGGAGGATTTCATGGACAGAATAGGGAGAAGTCTCATATAAATTCCAAATCTAAAAATACATGAGAATAAAATTATACTGGTCAATGAGAAGGATAATAGAATGTAATGGCAAAATACAATAATTTTAAGGAAAGACATTGGTGCTCTGATTTCTTTTGGGCTGTATAAAATAGATACACATCAGGCCAATGCTTTACATTTTACTTGTCAATTCTTAAAAATAATCTATGGAATATGGAATGGAAAAACCACTGAGTATCTATTGCTTTCTTAATAAAATCCTGAAGATTAGATAGCTCACATTCCATGCTATAATGTTTTTACAAACAAAAATTCTTGGCAGGACCATAATTTGGATAGACATTTGATATACTTTTTACATATCTTTCAACACATAGAGAAAGAGAATCTAGACATGTTTGGTCACAGTAGAATGAGAGTGAGTTAATAGGGAAGCTGACTTAAAATCATTTCTGTCAAAGAAGAGGATTCTGCGGGAAAGAAATTACTTTTGATTCAAGCCAAGCAGTAAAATAAATCCTCTATTTTTCAGCAAACTGATGAAGTGACAATTCGGAGAACCAACTTCTAAATATGTACCTTCAGGGATGACCACCCAATTAATTTCATTCTTGCTGACATTTTCCATTGCCTTAGAAACTTCTTAATGCACATTAGTGAAGCTAAAATGGATTCTATGAGAATGAAAAATAAAGGGTATTTATCTCCTATCCCCACAAAGAAGCAAAATGTTATTTCAGGACTGTGGAAATATAATCATGATGTGCTGTTCAAAGTAAACTAGCACAGAGGAGCTACTCCTGGATCATCCCCACTTGATTAACTCACAAATTTTCAGACCTAAAAGATGTCAATTAAAGCCAGTGTGCATCAGGAAGCTAAAATTCCCTACAATACATGAAAAGTAATAGCTAGATATTTCCTTTAAAAAAGAAAGAAAGAAATTGAGTGTCTAGCACTTTACCATGCAAACAGGACCTTACATTTCTGTGGAAATTTTATAGTCTATGGAAACAAGAATTACAAGCATAACACTGATTTTCATTCTAAGAGAACTTTTCCCAAACACTAAACAGCTTAATATCCTTGTGGAAAACATATAGTTGGCTGGCCATATCCATAGGTTCCATATTAGCAGGTCAGGAAGAATAATACATCTGCACTCAACATGCAGACTTTTTTCTTGCCATTTTTCCCTAAAAGTACATTACAACAAATATTTCCATAGCATTTACATTGTATTAGATTTTACAAATAATCTAGAGATGATCTAAGTTATATGGGAAGATGTGCATAGGTAATATGCAAATACTGCATCGTTTTGTATAAGAGATCTTAGTGCCCTTTGATTTGGGTATCTGCAGGATGTCTTGGAACCAACCACCCCGCCAGTACTGAGAAAAGACTATGTGATGGTTGATCGATTGTGTCAACTTCAGTATGAGAAGCTCACTAAATTGGCTCAGCAATTCGAAGACCCACCCGAGGGCAACTTGCCGCCTGGATGGTATAAAGAGAAAATGAGGGATCTGCTTCTGTTTCTTAGGAGGAGCTCCAGTCTTAGCCATCACCTTGGACTGCCGGCGCAGACTCTTCAGCTTCCAGCACAGATCCTTCAGTCTCCCAGCACAGATCCACTGGCCTCCTGATACGGACTTGCACGGGACACTACAGTGAGCTCCAGACCTTCGACTAGATTCTTTGAATCTCCAGTGTGGACAGAGACTCTCTGCACTCTTCCACACCGGACTCTGTGGGTGGCCATTGTAAGCCAATCTTGTAAATTCTTATATATTTGTATATCTTGTATTGCATCTATTTCCCTGGGGAACACTGACTGATACAGACAATATCTGTTTTACATTGACAGAGGGAAAAACTATACAAATCAAACATCTTGCCTATCCCCACAAAGTCACCCAGCATTTTTCCAAGGCATGAATACAATATTAGCAATAGTCAAGACCATTAGAATCTGACAGTCCATCAGTATGTTAGGATAATGTTAAAGATGACACACTTAGGAGTTTTTCAATTAGTAACTCAGGCCCTGCTACACACCCAAACGAATAATGACATTTTAAAACTGAAGAATTAAACTGCCACCATCTCCAATAAGAAGGAATTCCCAAGAAGATCATAAAAATTCACAAAAACACTAGTGAAAGTCTTAAATTTTCTACAATTTTTTTTAATTTGAAGTAATCTGAATAAGTTTATGAATGGGTCAGATGATTTACACAGATCTGTGATGACAATCCTACTATATGTAGACGGTCATAGAGATATTGAAAATCATTTGATGAAGTCATTAGATTTGAGTTATCAGATTTTAGAGGCCTAAATCTAAAATATTTATTGAATAATTTAGATTGAGAATTAAACAGAATAGGCAGACAGAGAAAATGTGATGAGAGGAGAGAACCAAAAACAGTGAAGCAGATGGTCTTACAACATTATTTGTTACTACCAAAGAAATTCGAATGTTTATCTTTCTTTTGTGCTTTTGATTGGGGTTAAGGGTAGGTACAAGACTGATTCAGCTTTCGGGCTATTCATTTTAGTCAATAATTTACAAGTAACTTTGTAAATGTGCGTTGTAAATGAGTTTGAAAGGCAGAGGGCAGAGAAGGCTAGATGGGAGCATAAGAGGAAAAGGTAGTCACAGCTTAAAGCAAAGGAGGGTACATGGGCCTAGAGTTCCTAGAACCCAGGAAAAAGTAGGGAGTTGAAAGGGACAGTAACAACAGTCCAAGACAGCATAATAAAAGCTAACCAAAGATCTGGGAACCAGGATACGTCAAGCAAAGTTAAAAAGTTAACCACTAAAGGCAGGCTTACTGGTATGATGATATGAAAAGGTAGAGGATTCCTTTCCACAAAAAAATCAAGCATACAACTGGACAAAATTACCAGTAATCATTTCAGGACTCTGAGAACTGATCAAAGGCAAACAATGAATTAAAAACCATTAAATCTTGAGATGTTGCTAGAGCTAGGGAGTAAATAGAGCAAATTTCTTTGGCCTTCTTGGATGGGACTGCTCCTGTCTCTTTCAATAAGTTGGAAACTTAGTTTTATCAGGATGAGGCCAGCTGGACAATCAGCAGCTTCGCTGCCACATGGGGTGGACTCCCTTGAGGATTAGCAGTGAATCTGGAGCTTTCTTAACTAAAAATGGCCAACTTGGTAGAAAACAAAAGAGAAAAACCCAGCAAAAAAATTTAAAAGGGAGATTGAGAAAGTGAGTCATAGAAGGTCTAAAGAAGCTCTCCACTTATTTCTTGCTGAGTAGAAAACTAGGTGCATGCTCAGGGGAGACCAGACAGGGGCCAGTGAAAGGTAAAATCTAAGGCAGATGGAGAGCTGGCTGTGACAACGAAGGCACTCCTGAGCTACACACAGAGCAACTGGCACAGGGAGAAGCCCTCCACTCTTGAGGTATTTGAGCAGAAGCTCTGCCCTAACCACTGGCGGGACACTAAACTATGCAGACACGGGGCTGATCACCAAGAGGTGAGGCTAAAAAATGAAACTAACAGCTAAAGAAACAAGCACAGACATCCATAGCCACTTCCTTCAGGAGAAACACATTTTGCAGTGTCATTCCAGGAAAGTCACTTTTTAAAAAAAAAAACCTCAGAAAAAATAAATGAGAATCCAGAGTTGCTACATCATCTAGAATGTCCTTTTCAACAACAAAAAATTATGGCATGCAAAGGAAAATATAAAAGAACCAATCTATAGAAACTGACACTAAGTGAGCCTAGATATTGGACTTGGCAAAGATTCAAAAGTGGCCATTATGAATCGGTTCAAAGAGTTCGACTATATTCAAATCATTAATGGTAAATATGATGACAATGACTCAACAAATAATCATCAACACAGAAACAGAATCTATATAAAAAACAAAAACAAATGGAAATTCTAGACTTAAAAATAGATCAATAGAAATGATCCAACCTGGAGAAGACAGAAGAAAAGAAAGCATTGAAGAAGTAGGTCATAGCAGCAGACAGTCTGGTCCCAGGAGCCAAAGCACCACCAGGCAAATTGAAAAGTAATCAAAACTTGAGATAAGGATTTTCTCAATTACCATCCTTTTAGTCACTCATAAAATAAGGATAATAGTACCTCTGCCTCCCAGATTAACATGAGGACAAAATGAATTAAATATTGTGAAGCACTTCCTGGCATACTGCAAAGACATAATTATAAGTTGCTATCTTCATCAGCATCATTACCATCATCACCACCACCATTTTGCTGGGGGAGAAATCATGGCTGGCTGACCTTGGGCCTGAAAGTTTGCAAGGAAACTCTCCCATCAAGAGGGAAAGTTCTGGGCTGGGGGTTTAGCTCAGTGATGCGGCTGCCTGCCTCTCAAGCACAAGGTCCTGAGTTCGATCCCCAGTACCAAAAAAAAAAGGGAAAGTTCTTACAGGCAGATGGGAGCAAAATAAATAAAATATAACAGCTATTCTTTCTTTTTTTTCTTTTTGGTACCGGAGATTGAACTTGGGTCCTTGCGCTTGCAAGGCAGGCGGTGGAACCACTGAGCTAAATCCCCAGCCCCATAACAGCTATTCAAAGAAAAGAACATAGCTATCAGTTCTTTGACATGTGTTACCTTGACAACTACCTTCTGGATGCTTCACAACTATACAATTTCTTCCATATTTCTAATCATACTTATTTCTATAGTATTTATTCTTCATTAAGATCTTCAGAAGTTTCAACCCAAGTGTAAAAATCTAGATATATACACAAATATATATGTATAATTATATTTATAACTAGATCTAGAAATAACTTTAATGTTTGCATCCTAATAGCCTTATTCCAATATGTATGGATGTTAGAGATAGAGAACCCATAATTAGACTGAAGATCTGAATCATGTATCAGAAATAAGGCTTGACAAAACATGACAGATTTTGTGCAAGTAACTGGCAAGCCAGCTACTCTGACCTGAGGGGAATTACAAAGGTTAAACTAAAGAGATTCCACTTCTCATCAACATATTTGTCTATTTCACTTTCTTTCTGTTTTAATACTCACTCTGTTTTTGGAACAGCTTTTCTTAGCCAGAAGAAATCAGACTGTGCTAAATACTTCCGGGTTTGCAGGACATTGCCAAAGTAGTCCGATTCTGAAAATTTGATCTGAATAAAACAAACCACAACGTCACTGTCCTGAGTGAAAACAAGAGGTGGCTCTAAAAACAGACTTCAGCACATGAAGCAGCAATCAGCAGATAAGCTATGCCTTCACAGCATCTCTCAGCCATTACTGGTTAACCCAGGATCCACAAAGCCATGAAATTTAATCTCAGTGATTTTCTTTTAACATAAAAAGCTCAAAAATCAATATGGCCATTTCTGGATCACAAGAAGAGAAGCTCCAGTCATTTGCAATGTGTTCCGTTTACATTCTAATTGAAAAATCTACTTTAACCTTTATAGAACATATTATCTTAGGTTTGAAATTTCTTGGCTCACAAGTTCTTGATCTTCTCTAAAATGTGTACTTTACTTATTTGTCACAAAAGATTCTTCTAATAGCATTTAGTTTAGTCAGCTGAAACCTCATTTAGCTTATAGATGATGATTTAGTCAAATGTTAAAATCCAATTTACTGTAATCGGCATTTGTTCATAAAGAAAAAAAGAAGAAAGTAACTCAGAGACCTATTTTCCATCCTAAGCACAATAGAGTCACCAGAATAATTTAATTATTAGCAGAGTTTATCTATTAACACAAAAAGGTTCTGGTTGCTAAAAATTAATGAAATTACAGGGGCAAATCATAGATTATAGCTTGCAGGGGAATACAGGAAGCTGATAGCTCATAACAATATTGTTTATTATGATAGGGAAACAGACATAATTGATTATTGCACTCCTTTTCTTTTTTGAGAATGGCAAACAATTTCAATCCTATCACATTCCGTCAATAGAAGTAGCAATAACTAAGCAAAATATTGTAATAATATGCGTACCATAGTAAAAGCATCAGTATGTAATGATCTCTAATGCTTTTGTTCTAAAATATATTGCTATCACAAAATTTTAAAAAATAAATGTATAACCATGGCAGATAAGAAAAACACACATATGAATAAGTGAATAACCAAGAGTAATCAAATTCTTATTAGCTATAGTTTTGTATAACTTTACACAATGGTCTTTTAAAGTAAACATTGCAATATAAGAAATGCATGTATTCCATGAAACCCAGACTTTGCATTACAGATATGAATGTATATAATTTGACAGTTATAGACTTGACAGGTCATCTATTTGTTGGACAATGTCTGGCTTACATTTATCTCTGCCCAAAGATAGAATGGGTACTCATGTCTGTGGAGATATTTATGTTAATGAATCATCTTAACATCTTTCCAGAAGACCAGGCCAAAATATAAAGAGAAGTGTAAAACAACTGAAGGCACATGAAGAAAGGCAGGAATTAAAATATTGATTCCTGGCATCTTTGGTGTTCTTCTTGGCCAACAAATTATAAAGATATGACTTTAAATTGTCCTTTCCTCAAACTGCTTGGGCAAGGGAGAGAGGGCTGATAAATAAATCATGGCATATTCACATAATGGAAAACAATGGAGTTTAAATGAGTGTTCTGTATGCATGAACATGAAATAATCTCAAAAACAAGGTAAATAAGGCAAGTTGTCTGTATGAAAGGATTTAAAGTTTTAAAACATGCAAAACAATGTATTAATTATGGATACATACTTATGGAGCAAAGGTATAAAGAAATGCGTAGGACTGATAGATCTGAAATCAAGGTAGTGTTTACATCCAGGAAAGGAGACAGACACGGCGGAAAGAGATTAGATCAAGGAGGACTACACACCGAATTGAAAATATATCTCTTATTTATTTCAAATATGTGAGTATTCTGGGCATGGTGGTCCTCCTCTATACTTGAGCCCAAGAGTTTGAAACCAGCCTGAGGAACATAAAGAGACCCCATCTCTAAGTTAATAATAATTAAAAATGTGTATGTACATGTACAAAACTAATTCAATAACATTTGTTGAAAATAGAGGTATAAGAAATATTTTACATACTGTTCCTATGTTACAGATGTTTCATAATAAAAAAAACTTACAATTGATTGTATTTTAAGATGAAGGATATCTCTTAGCCTTAGAAAAACACAGAGAAAGCATTTTTTGGTTTAGAAAGCAAACTTAACTAGCAATCCTATGGCATTCTTGTATCATATGGTTAAAAACCCTGAGTTTTTTTTCAGCTTTTGTTCCCCAGACACTTTTGCTAGGACCTTCAGAATATGACTGGAACTGATAGAAAATTCAGATGGTTTTGGACTCAGCACACTGTCCGGGAAATTCTTCCAAAGGAATTTCCTTCAAAAATATTTACCGTTTTTATGCAATATCAGTAGAATCAGTTTTTACTTTTAGAAAGGTGTGCTAATTGTGATATTTTCCTGTTTAATCTGAAAAAAAAAATAAAATGACATTTAGATTGGTCCACAGACATTAAAACCTATCCCAAGACTTCCTAAGAAGAAAAGACTCCCAAGTCTAAATATCATAAATAATAAAGGTATACTACATCCATAAAAATAATCATGGGAAGGTAAAACTCAAAGGTAGGAAATTACAGTTTGCCATAGCTTTTATGTTTTAAAGGAAAATTCTAATATTGTATTAATTATTAAGATGAGAAATTTGTTATGTCTTAGGCTGGTTTCATTGATTTATTCCATTTATTTAAAGGAAATCACAAATAATGGGGGACACATATTACTTTTTCCTCTGAGACAGGTTAAGTGTTTGGAGGTAGGAAAGGACCAGTTATTGCTATTCTGAGATGATAAGACTGATAGACAAGAACCAGGGCTAAAGAGGTTATGAAACTGGGCAGAGCCTCACAGTACTGATGATTTAGCTTCTACCTCAATGTAATTTACATTGGCTCAGTAAGAAACAGATCCAACAGAAAGAGTGCAAGGAAGAAGGAGGAGAAGGTAAGAACTGGGGATTGGAGTAGAAGCAATGAGTATATAAATTGTGATATGGCTTACTTAATGAAATACTATACAGTTATTAAAAGAATAGTAACAAAGTCTATGGAGGACAGTGACAAAACAGTACATTAACTGTAACGATAAGTATGAAATTATATATAAACAGCTATTACAGCTATATAGAAATAGAGGAAAACAACACACTCTTAGGGATGTATATATTATTATGTTCAGGCACCAATATTATGGGTGCTTTTTCATTCCTTTTCTCTATTTTCTCAATTTTCTGCCATGCAATAATACTTTGATGATTTCAAAGATTTCAAAAGGCCTTTATATGAAGAAAAAACTTGAAGCCCAGCAACCATTAGGAGAGTTTTGTTTGTTGGAGAGAGAGACAATAACAAAAATGAATGTGCATGAATATTTTAAGAGATCTCGAAAAATATTAAACTCTGCCAGGGACAATAATAAGCTCAAAAGCCTCTTGTCCTTTCAGTTACTGGAAAAAATATGGGTCCAGTGGATAATGACTTTCAATCAATTCCATCTCGACCTTTCAATTGAGTGACCTTTGGGGAAGTAATTGCAGCTATCATGTCATTTCATAGGAACAGCTGTCCAGATTATAAAATTCATTGGAACCTGAATTTCTCTTCTTGGAAATCCTATCCTGGATGCCAAGCACCAGATGCCACAGAATAAGTGAAAGAAGAAAGTTATCAGTGCCCCCACAAAGGTGAGATACATATAATAAAGGCACAACAAGGAAACATGTTCACCTTCCTTCTCTGTAAAAAGAGTAAGGTTTATAACACCCTACTTGTGTCAATGGAAATATAGACCCTAACTCACTTGTCATTTAATTCAAATCCATTTAAAGATACTGTGAGATATATCCAAACAGCTATAAGAAAGACTTTATATTAGGCACCCAAAGAATTTTCTGAATCCTTAATGGAATCCAGATTATGTATCTATTTTTCTTTATTTAAACGACAAAGCAATATGCAATATTGATGTGTTTAGACGTCTTTGTTCCTAAGTCATGTGTATATACATGTGCATGAACACATACACACACACAGAGTCCAACAAAAAATGTATATATGCTTCAGGATAAGAAAAACAGTATGACATTTTTTCAACAGATGGTGTTACACTCGTAGTGGGGAACCCTGGAGGATGTCGTATATCACAGAAAACTCACTATACTGTGGCCCTTAGAAAAGAAACTGAAAGTGCACGTGCAGCAATCTCAGTGACCACGATTTCCCAAGCAGCAGTTCGCCATACCAATAAATGTCTGGAAGCTCATGGCCACCACTTTAAGCACCTCTTGTAATTGCAGAGGCCAAAGGTAACTTGTGTTAATCTCATGATGTGGCAATAAATTTAGTATTAAAATATTTATACAAGTTTTTCTTTTCCTGAAGTGTGTGTACACTTTTTGGCGGACTCTGTATATACTGGGGTGAATCTACATACAGGGGACACTATGGAAGATGGACTTCCCCCAAGCAGGTACATGAAGGTGATTGAGACCACCATCCAGCGATGACCCCACTCCATGCTGGGGACAGGGGTGACCTCTGTACTCCAGCCAGTGGAACACTCTGGACAGAGGCTGGCACGGGGGACAGTTAAGGAGGCCAGGCTGGAAGGTTACTGGGTACCAGGACACCCCATTTCCAGTGTATATTCTTGGATTTTCAGTACTGTAGTGACTAGGGGTCTTGAGAGAGGTGAGAGCAATAACTTTTGGGGTTTTTAAATCAAAGAGTACAGAATTATTTTATCATTTTAACAACTTCCTTTTCTGGAGCATTCCACCCAAATACCAACAGACTCTTACATAGTTGTAGTTTCCATCATTTGGATACACATCACTCACATACACACACACACACACAGTTCCACTGCCTGACCAATGTTTACCTCAGAGAATAAAAATGTGGGTTCACTATCTAGCTATCCATCCATCCATCCATCCATCCATCTATGCATTTACATGTGTGTATATATATATCACTCACCAGAAACATTAATCTCTAAAATATTACTTATTTTCAATCCTAAGTAAATGGGGGCCGGCCATGATTCTGACTTTAGTCCCTATTGCAATTCTACAATGGCTTTTACAAGAATGTATGAAGTGCCTAACTATGCAGTTATTTACCCACAATCATTCAGCTACATGTCTACCCTTTCACTCCATTCAGTAATGCTGGGGATTGGCAATCTGAAAGGTCTTATTTCCTGGGTTCCTTTATCAGTTGACATCCTGCCCACTGAAGGCACTGGGGGAAATCAGGTAATGCCAAAAGATTATATGTTGTGTTGCTCCTCTCTCCCTCTCTCTCCATTCCCTACCTCCTCCTGGAAGAACCTTCAGTTCTTCCTCCTCTACTCTCCGAAGTGACAATACTATTATGTCTTCCTCTCCATGCTCTTAGGCCAGGGGTGGCAGCTGCTTCCTGAACTTATTAATTGCTGGTTTACTTCACCTTCCTCTTTTTTGCCTTCCAACCTATTTCCTGTACTAAATCCTCTGTTGGGAATATCTAGCGTGCTTTCTGCTCTCCTGGCTGATACAGCAACTTTTCCAAAATTGGTATAAGCTCATTCTTGCATCGATGTCCATAACAGATCAATGAAATAGAATAATGCTGTATAAGGTTAACTGGAAAACAGACTGGTACCCACCATTTTAGGCTAATAGGTTTTACTGGATGCTGATGTGGGCTCAAATAAAAGGAACTTCCTTCTTCTTGTTCTCTTGTGTGTATGGGAGGAGTACTAAGGATACAGCCTAGGGCCTTCACAATAAGCTACATCCTCAACACTTTTTTTTTTGAGACAGAGTCCTGCTAAGTCACTAAATTGCCCAGGCTGGGCACAAACTTTTGATTCTATTGCCTCAGCCTCTCAGAGTGCTGGGATTATAGGTGTGTGCCATTTCCCGCCCTTCTGGCTTTTTTCAAAGACTGTAAGAGGATTATTGTTCAGAAATGCTTTGTGGAGTATCTCAATTTACCTTGTCATCCGTAGGGGGAAAAAAGTTCTGATTCTGTTTCACATATGCCTCTCAATTCTTTTTCATTTGCTCTCATCTCCATATGAGCCCAACTTCAGTTTACAACCTTTCTCCTGGACTTTAGTCTGATCCATCACTTAATCTCCCTCCTCTTTTGTATTTGTGCCTGATGAATCACAGTACACTCGTGTCAAATGTAGCAAGCTGCCTTCAATAGCCTCTCATGCTCAGAACTTGTATTGTCAGAGCTTTCTCGTAGGTCCTGCTGTAGTCCTTACCTATGTGCTCCTCCACATCCCAGCAATACTTTAGTCCTCTCGCTATTAACCTTGGTGACACTGTTACAATCTGTTCCATCATCCTATCCCTTATTTTCAAGTTAGGTATTATTTATAATTCTCTATCTGTTTCTGAATACAAATGTCTTTTTACTTTATATATTTGGATTTCACTCACCACTGGTTTTATAAACTGTTAGAAACTCTTGAATGTGACTGTGTCTGCTTTGGCAATGAGTCAGACAAAAGCCACTGCTTTGCAAAAGTGCTTAAAAATCTTCATGTCTAATGGCATCAGTTCAGGCCTTGGAGAAATGAAGAAGCATATCCAACAATGCATCCTGTTTGGCATGTGATTTCCTGTCATAAAAGATACTATATTCAGTGAGTTCTTAAATCTGGGACTCTCAACTCAGACAGCCAGAGACTGCCAGCAAAGGTTGATCAACTTGATATGAGTGAGCCCTGAATGCTACCTAAATCGATTAAAGTTTGGGACTATTCCATCTGTTGGGCCTTTTAAATCAATTTGAGGATCCTGGAAACTGTGCGTGTTAATTCATGATGACTTTTCCAAACCAAAATAATCCACTATGCTAAGTGCAAATTAAGGATGGCATAGCTAACATTTATATTTGTGCTTGTGTGCCACTGTCAGTTCTAAACACATTAAATATGTTGTTTGATCCTCATAACACTCTTATCTATATGGGAGGGATTATTATCACCTCCATTTCAGATGAGGAAACTGAGGCACAGAGAAGAGACATAAACTATCCCAGATTCCACAGTTTGTAAGTATTCTGGTATTCTGACTCCCAAGTTTACGTTTATAACTATTACTCCAAACTCCTTCTCAAACTTCCTCTTCTCTATCTGGACTTCAAATATTTACCAATCACATGGAATTATCCAGGTTCTCCCTCTAAAGTAATTTGTGCCCTGGTAATGTTCTTCTTAGTGGCAACAGTTTTCATATTTATCCATGAGGCCACCACTTAGAGGGAGCCTACTGTGTGCCAGACAGTGTTCTAGGTACTTTTACAGTCATATAATCTCATTTCACCTTCGCAACAATATTAAGAATTGGATATTATCTCCTGTATCTAGCTAACCAAAGGGAAGCTGACTGAAGCTAAGTAACCTGCACAGGATTGAACAACTAGGAAGTGCAAGAAGGCAGAATTCAAACCCAAGCCCATAACTCCAGAGCCTATGCTCTTAACCACTTGACAATATGGCCTCCTTTCTGCCGTTCTCCTTCCTATCAGTTCTAGAAAGGCAGCTCCCACCATGTGTCCAATGGACTCCTCTGTTCCTCCAGCACAGCTGCCTGATGAAGCCCCTTGAGAAACCCTTCTCAAATCTAGTCAGCTCTGGAAGAACTGAGATTTTAGTCCTGACTCTGATACTCTGTGTGCCACTGAGGAAATCACTAAGCTTCTTGGAGTCTCTGTACCCTTTTCCGCAAAATGGGCATAAACATAGCTACTTCTTGAGGTTGCTGCAGGAATTAAATGATAATAAACATGAATACATCAACTACTTCAATTATTTTTAGTTATCATAATAATCATGGGCATCTCAGCATCATCAAACAGTATATAAGATAGGCTGTCTGAGCTTTCAGATAACAGGAAGCATAATTACCTTCTTCCATAGCAACCAGATCAGTACTTTGGGAGGCTGTACCTTGGAGCTGAACAGAGCAAGTTTTAAATGAGAGCTTTCTCTCACTTTCAAATGGTCTTGTGTAATTTTGATGCTCATCCACAAAGCTAGGACTGCTTACAGATAGGCCACTTGTTGAATGACAATTTCAAGAAACAGCTATTCCTCAGAACCAAAGTTATTTAAAGAATTTCAGAGGACTACTTTTTCAAGAAAGTTCAGTAAATGGTAAAAACAAGATTTTTTGTGAGGAAGGAAAATTCTATATCAGAACTATTTATAGGAAAGAAAATAACAGTGGTTATGAGTACAAAGGCCTATAACAAATATGTCTACTGCAAAATATGCATCCTAAATATTGGAATAAAAAAGAATTATTACCGTTCCTCATCAGTAACTTACTGAAAATATACAGTCTAACTCATAATAAATTGTTGAGTCATATGTATATGCACTTAATTTGCCAAAAGAGGCATAAAGTTTAATGAGGTTAAATCTCAGGAGGCAGATTTATTACTATTCACTTAATATGAATGAAGGAAATAAAACTATTTAACAACAAACATGATGCATTCACCATTACCACATGCCCATTCATTGTAAAATACTCAATTTGCTTAACTCTTTCCTTTAGGATCAAATGAGGCCAAATCCAAGTCCATTTGCTTTACGGTGCCCACTCAACTATGCATTCTTTCTGACACTTCCTTTATTTGGAATCTGCTTTAAATCTTGTGATATGCCTGGCATGCTCAAGCTCAGATCTAGCCAAGAAATAAATCAAAAGTTGGTACTTTTTGGCACCACCAGGTTTAATTGCTTGGACTTGGGTTAGTTAAAGGGCACAAGGCCAGTAAAACTTGCCAGGAAAAAAAATACAGTAAATTTAGCACTTACTGCCTTGAGGTCTTCATTAACATGAGTATCATTCATTATAAAATCAGGATAGCCAACTTTTGCCAAAACAGCTCTTGCCTATAAAAACAAAAAAGAAAAATGATGTCAGAGTTTTGGCACTTAAATCATTAATAATCACAGGATGTAGGAATGCACTCTTCATCTGAAAACTCCATTTACTGAATATCTAGTATATGCAATCCCTTGTGAAGGACAAAAACAAACAGCAACAATAACAAAAGTTAGCCCCTGTACTCAATACATTAAAAATGTAATGAATATAGAAGATACCTGCTACAAAAAAGAAACGTATAGTATTGTTATCAAATTCCAGAGCAGAGACCATTTCCTTGAAGGGATAAGCCAAGTCTTAGAGAATAGTTAGGATTTCAAACTGCAGAGCTGAGAAGAACAACATTTCAGAAAAGAAAATAATGAACAGAGAGGAAAAAAATATTTGTGAACTATACATCTGATAAAGAGTTTATTTCCAAAGTACATAAGAAACTTAAACAACTCAGTAGTGAAAAAAATAGTTAACTAGATTCAAAAATGAGCAAAGGACCTGAAAAGATATTTCTCAAGATACGGAATATATGTCCAATAGGCATATGAAAAAAGTTGTAACATTATTAATCATCAGGGAAATGCAAGTGAAAACCACAATGGGATATCCAAAAAAGCTTGCAAGTGTTTGTGAGGATGTAGAGAAAAGAGAGCACTTGCACATTGATGGTGGGAATGTAAATTAATGCAGTCACTGTGGAAACCAGTATGAAGGCTGCTCAAAAAATTAAACATAGAACTACTATAAGATCCAGAAATTCCATTTCTAGGTATATATGCAAAGGAAATGAAACCAGTAGGTGGAAGGAACATCTGTACTCCCGTGTTCATTGTAACACTGTTAACAGTCAACACATGGAATCCATTTATAAATGTATAAGTTGTCCATCAACTGATAAATGTATAAAAATGTAATATACACAATAGAATACTATTCAGCCACAAAAAGAAAGAAATTCTGTCATTTGAGACAGCATGGATAGAAGTACAGTTCATTATTTTAAGTGACATAGCCAGGAACAGAAAGACATACTGCATGATCTCACCAATATGTGAGATTTTTAAAAATCCAACTCAGAAAAGCAGAAAGTAGAATGATGGTTACCAAGGGCTGAGGGTTAGACTTGGGGTGATATGAGTCAAAGGATACAAAATTTCAGTCAGACAAGAGGAATAAGTCCAGAAGATCTACTATATAAAATGGTGACTACAGTAAATACCAATGTATTGTATACTTGGAAGTTGCTAAGAGAGATTGTAAATGTTCTTACCACAAAAAATGATAAATATGTGAGGTAATGCACATGCTACTTAGCTTGATTTAGTCATCCTACAATGTACATATATATCCAAACATCTTAGTGTATACCATAAATATATAAAACATTTTATCTGATGATTTAAATGAATAAATATGAAAAAGACAAGAACAGAGGAAACACATGGATCACAGGGATGACAAGAATTCCTGAATGCCATGCTAATGAGTCCACATTTTATTTTATAGCTAAATTAGGGCTAAATATTTTTAGCAAGAGAGCAAAAAGACATGAGTCATGCTTCAGCAAGATCATCCATCCAACACTGTGAACAATAGCCAAGATGCCAGAAAGATTGAAGGCAGGGGGTCCAGAATAATTTAAGATACGTCATAACATCATAACCATCATTTTGATAGACAAAGATATTAATTGTTTTCTGTATTTTGCAGTACACAGGGAATGGATACAGGAAAAAAATCACCTTGGGCATATGTAAGGAGGCTTTGCAGTACAGACTGGCAAACTACAGTCCCTAGGCCAAATCCAACCCTCTTCCCCTACCTATTTTTGTGAATAAAGTTTACCGGAACATAGCCACACTCATATGTCTATTATCTATAGCTGCTTTTTGGATACAACTGTAAAATTAAGTAGTAGGAACAGAAACCCTGTGGCCCACAAGGCTTCAAATAGTCTCTCTGGGCCTTTATGAAGTGTGTCTTAGAAAATGTGATCAAAAACACAGTGAATGCTGCTGCCAAGTGCCATGCAATACAAAGGTAGGCTTGTGGCCACATTATCTGTGTATCTTTCTCCCCTTTATTCACTGCATCTGGCACTGTGTGACTTCTGGCTCTTTCCCAAAGTCAAAATGATCATGAAAGGCAATTATTTTCACTGATTCAGGACACCAAGGCAGCCATGACAGTGCAACCAAAGTCACTTATGAAAGAGAACTTGTAGAACTGCTTCAGAACATGGCAAAAATGATGAGATAAGTGTGTTCAAAGCAAGGGGGAGTATTTTGAGGGAGATTATTGGCAATGTATCTTTTAGGGTAATCAATTTTTAATTTTTTTAAACATTCACCATATTTTGCAGTGACATCTTGTATAATTTACACTTCCAAACTTCCTTGCAGGATTAGACTAGTTCTGAGATATCCCCTGAATTCATAACCCACCACACACCTCTCACCCTTCACTTTCTTGCTTCTCCCATTCCTTGATGGTTTTTCTTGGGAGTGTTTCATTAATAAATCACTTGCACATGAATTCTCATCTCCAGATTTGCCTCCAGATAACTCAGCATAAGAAATAGGCAACCTCAAACTTACTTCATTTCAGCAAAGCATCAATGCAAAATCAGCAACCTTTGTACACTGCTCTTGGTAACAAGTTTTTTCTTTTAGTCCTTGTCAATTTTCCTCACTCAGAAATAAATAGAATAAGATGGTACATTTTCCTTATCTTCCTTGAGATAATTCAAATATTAAATATCAGCAGAAACCTGCAACTCAAGACTCAGAGAGGATTTTACAAGTGCTGTAGGACACAATCATAATGGGTTTTGCTGTTCCAGGGACTCAAATATAGCACAGATCAAATTCTGCCTTTAAAACCCTGTGAGTTGTACACACTAAAACCCTGATGTGACCCAAATAGCACATGACTAGAGGTTAAAATTCCCCCCAATACAAAACAATATGTCATATATCTATAGGTTACCTTGCTCTGAAACTGTTATTTTCTTCATTGTATTTCATTTCTCACTGTATTTTAGTAGCTCACCACAAGTCATATGTGTATGTAAAGCAAATAAAGAGCTCCAGATAGTTCTCTCCACTCCATCCCCCAAAATAAGAAATAAACAAGCTGAGTCATCCACAATTGTTTCCTGAACCCTGGCTTTTCCAGAGCAAGCTGGTGAATTATGTATTGTTTTACAAACCTCAAGCTCTGGGACCTCCACTGCCCTATGGAGTCTCACAGAATATATTACCCTCTGCACTCTATATGCAGATTATTGAATCTTTTGTTATCTATTTAGCATCACCACAAGCTGAACAGAATCAGAACAGATATGCAAAGAATTCTTATTTGCCTCCCAAGAATACATAGTTAAAATAAGATAATAATAGCAATAGCAACATTGCCAACATCTGAATAGAGTGTTCTTCTTCCCAATTGTATACTTATGCCTCTATTCAGAATCGAATGCTCCTTCTGCCAGAGTTTTCTGTCAATTCCACACCATCCCAGCTGCCCTATTCTACATCTTTCCCTGAGAAGCTTCAGAATCATACCTCTCAAACAATACAGGCCAGGGCTCAAGATTAAGCTACCAGTGAGAGGCAAGTCTAGGCCATTGGAAAGGTAGAAGAGAACAAAGCATCATTTACTCACTGCTGATAGCCATTGGCAGGCACACGGGCATCCACAGGGAGGAGAAACAATGCTTTGCCAGCAACTTCCAGGCATTCTTCTGGGAAGATCCCTTCAGTGTGCAGGCAGCAGACACCATGGGCAGCCTCTGCCTTTCACTCCCCAGCCCTCCAGTGGTTGCATACCCCTCGAAAACACTGTGTTAAACATCTTCCTGCTTGATATACATAAAAGGACATCTGTTTTCCCACAAGAACCCTAATGCAAATAGTGATCATATCACTTTTTAACTTTTTCAGAATGAGAGAGGTGAGGCACCTATAGCTGATGGTTTGCTGAAGGACTAAGTATTAGTGAGGCAGGTCTGAAATCAGTTACCTTATTGGTTATATGGACAAGAACAAAAGGCAAGTCCCACTGCAAATATTGAGAGAACAATGGTATGACTATTTAACTGACTGCATATTATATCCTGCAGTGAATATTTTCTAGACTATTCAAGGGATCATAATTAGGACATACATTTCGTTTTTGTAATTGAATTTTATTGGTACATTTTAGGTATACAATATAATGACATTCATCATTGGAAATTTGCACCTTTACATAATCTCTCTTGGTTCTTATTTTTTCCCCATTCCCCACCCCTCCCTTCAACACCTCCATCCCTCCCTATTTACGAAGACTTTGTTTCCATTTTTTCATTTTCTCAGGACATACATTTCTATCCCTTATTCCTAAAGGCATCTGGAGAGGAGCTGTACTTAACAATAGGACATCGTTTCTCAGTGGAGGAAGCTCAGCACCTACTCATCTTCGCTTCCTCTGTGGCCGTAGGCAAAATAAGCTTCTAAAGGAAACACTGCCTAGTGTCTACCTAATATCTATCCTCCCTTTCTTCTCTTACAATCAGAACCCCAGTTCTGCTGAGAATGAAAATGGACCCATCAAGAAATAGTCATATCACCAGCTTCCTTCATAGCTGAGTTTGCCTATGGGATAAGACTTTGGCCAGTGACATAACTAAAAGTCCTTGTACTTCCAAGGCTCCAGTTTAAAAGAGGATAGAACCAGCTGGTATGTGCTTTATTCATTTAGTCTAGGATTTTCAACCTCAGCACTACTGACATTTTTGGTGAGAGAATTCTTGTTGTGGGGAGTTGACCTGTGGACCATAGGAAATTTAGCAAAATTTTTGGTTTCTACTCACTAGATTCTAGTAGCAAGCTCCCAAAAATGTTCCCTGGGGACAAAATCACCTCCAATTGAGAGCCACTGCTTTCACTTTTTCTCTTGCTCTCTGGAATGATGACACAATGACAAAGGTAGACCAGCTAAGGCAACAAACATGATGAAGAAATCTACA